CTAATCAAAAACACCTTAAGTGTTAAAAAAGTGCGGCCAAAAAAGGATTGAGCGTGCAACTTAAAGGAACGAAATCAAAGTTGGCGGCCAAACTGGTAGCTACACTTATAGCACTGATAAGAATTTTACAGCAAATATTTATTCATTAGTTAGCTAGGCCGCGTTTTTTGTTTTATTCACCATCATGCCCCAAGTTGAGCTAATGAAGTTGCACGCACAATCCTTTTTTGTCCGCATCTTTCTTTCACACCTAAGGTGTTTTTGATTCGATATAACTTACATTATACTTTTAGCTTGAGTGAATAAAACTTACATTTATACCTTCTGCTGTGAATAGAACCTACCTTCTTTCCAATACTGCAAGATGTATCTAATAACTGGACTTCTTCCTGAGTATGAGGGAGACCAGGTGACACGAATTGTTCTGCTCCACACATTTATAGCATTTAGATTCTCGGGAGGCCCGGGGGGTTCTGTTTTACGAAATATTTTATATTAGCTATCCACTTTACGATACTAACTGTAAACATGAAAAAAACAAAAAAAACACGCATGCGTATTGTAACATTTGACGATAACACGTATATTACGAACTGGTAATAGCTATATTTAATACTACTGAAGTATTTCATTCTTTAATTTTGAAAAATTCAAATAAAGTGCAAATACGCTTCTTTATGTATGTAATGTATATAGATAATTATATATTCCATTAAGATTGTGCTTATAATGTTTTTGCTTATACTAAGAGTTAATTGCAATTTATAAGAATGAAGTTCCATGTAATCCTTACAAATACTCCCTCGATCGTACTCAGTCTGATGAATATCATCTAACCCTACAATTTCTAACGCAGTAAGCTTCTGCAAAGGATGATGGCGTCTATCTTAGGTCACACATCTTGATAAATGTTTTAAAGACGGGCACTGTGAGTGAACGTCAGTTTGAAGACCATTTGTAAGATTACCAAATACGTCAGAGGACTTGATAGGTATTTGGTTGAATGAGTTCATATTCCAGTTCCTTCAATCATCCTATACATGAAACTTAACGTTAAAAACAAGACATGTGTCCAGATTATCGTGATAGATTTCAGGTCTGAAGATTCTTATTCGTAGCTATAAGCTTCACCTTGCGGAAGAGGGCGTTGCTGTGTTTGGCTTATATTGTTGTTCTATCTTAAACGCTCTTTTGTGCTAGTGTTTCTGGTTCCGTTGTGGAATGTAAATACTTTCTTCCAATAAGTATTGTGTCTTTTTTTCACTTCATCGTTTATTAATCATTGTTATTGCCAGACTATGTCCTCGGAATGGGCTATGAAATATATAAGCTTCTAAAGAGAAAGCGCACTATCAAACAGTCGCTAATAGTGAACAGCAGTCCTGCTTCGGTAGCGAACAATACTTATCCTTCAATAACAATAGTCATACTTCGATAACAATAGTCCTACTTGGATAGCGAACAATACTTATCCTTCAATAACAATAGTCATACTTCGATAACAATAGTCCTACTTGGATAGCGAACAATACTTATCCTTCAATAACAATAGTCATACTTCGATAGACGCCAAATGACCTTCTCTGATAGTGAAGAATAGTCCTACTTTGATAATGAATATGTGTGTTGCTAAACATCTTGTGAAAAAAAATCCATTTGATAAATGTCTGGGAGGTTTTCTACAAAACTGTTTGGCTGAAGCGACCCAATGTGTTACAGAAATAGTGCTGACACTGCAAGAATACTTAATCCATGTAATTCAAACAAAAAGCGATATTTTATAGTAACCACGAACTTCTTTCAATTTTTATTACATTTATGCTCGAAGTGTCTCTATACAATATATAACATAATAATCCCCTATTTTCGTATCGCATAGAACAGGAGAAATTAATGGTATGTTTAAAGTTACTTACAAGATCAAAATCGAAACTGAGATTTTACACAAGTCGAAAGCTAAGTAAATAAGGGTGATAACGGTACTGGTCACAGTTGTTATTGGAAGTACCCTTACTGGTCACTGTAGTTATTGGAAGTACCCTTACTGGTCACAGTAGTTATTGGAAGTATCCTTACTGGTCACAGTAGTTATTGGAAGTACCCTTACTGGTCACAGTTGTTATTGGAAGTACCCTTACTGGTCACAGTAGTTATTGGAAGTACCCTTACTGGTCACAGTAGTTATTGGAAGTATCCTTACTGGTCACAGTAGTTATTGGAAGTACCCTTACTGGTAACAGTTGTTATTGGAAGTACCCTTACTGGTCACAGTTGTTATTGGAAGTACCCATACTGGTCACAGTAGTTATTGGAAGTAACCTAACTGGTCACAGTAGTTATTGGAAGTACCCTTACTGGTCACAGTTGTTATTGGAAGTATCCTTACTGGTCACAGTAGTTATTGGAAGTACCCTTACTGGTCACAGTTGTTATTGGAAGTAACCTAACTGGTCACAGTAGTTATTGGAAGTACCCTTACTGGTCACAGTTGTTATTGGAAGTATCCTTACTGGTCACAGTAGTTATTGGAAGTATCCTTACTGGTCACAGTAGTTATTGGAAGTACCCTTACTTGTCACAGTTGTTATTGGAAGTACCCTTACTGGTCACAGTAGTTATTGGAAGTACCCCTACTGGTCACAGTTGTTATTGGAAGTACCCTTACTGGTCACAGTAGTTATTGGAAGTAGCCTTACTGGTCACAGTAGTTATTGGAAGTACCCTTACTGGTCACAGTTGTTATTGGAAGTACCCTTACTGGTCACAGTAGTTATTGGAAGTATCCTTACTGGTCACAGTAGTTATTGGAAGTAATCGTATTAATCACAGTAGTTATTGGAAGTAATCGTATTAATCACAGTAGTTATTAGCAGTAATAGTATTAGTCACAGTAGTTATTGGAAGTAACCATATTAGTCACAGTAGTTATTGGAAGTAACCGTATTAGTTTTGTTTGTTTGTTTTGAATTTATACACAAAGCTACACAATGGGCTATCTGTGTTCTGCCCACCACGGGTATCGAAACCCGGTTTCTAGCGTTGCAAGTACGCAGACATACTGTTGTCCCACTGGAAGGCCCGTATTAGTCACAGTAGTTATTGGGAGTAACCGTATTAGTCACAGTAGTTATTGGAAGTAACCGTATTAATCACAGTATTTTTTGGAAGTAACCGTATTAGTCACAGTATTTTTTGGAAGTAACCGTATTAGTCACAGTAGTTATTGGATGCTGCGAAGATTGTTCCTACTTCACCACATAAAAAATTATTTAAAATGTTCTGTTGAATTTTCACCTAGTTAACGTGTGATTTCATTATATTATAAATGTTACACATTATTTAGTTTTATTTCAATACAACATTTAGTTCTAAAGAGTTAAAATCGATTTAACTTTGATGGTGAGTATCAATAATAAAGCTGTAACAAATAGCGTTTGATAATTCCATTTCAATACTTTTAAATTTATAGTTTTACTCCCCAAAAAACAAAATTCTAAAATAGCAAAGTTAATGTTTTGTTTTACCTTGGACGTTGACAACAGTCCTTATGGATCTTTCACCGTAATTATTAGTAGCAATGCATGTATACACACCGCTGTCAGTTCTAGTGCTTTCTTCCAGTGACAGTTCAAGAAGTACGCCACCTACTGTCGACAACTCGGATATTTGTACTCTGTGGGAATTAAAAGTAAAGTACTAAAAAGAAAAAAAAAAAACTTCAAGCGACTAAAATTATTAAACGAATAAACTTCCTAAAGAAAACTGTCAGACCACCATAGTTTCAGGCAAATCGCTCAAAAATGTCATTTTACAAATCATGATCGGCCAAAAAAAAAAAACACTGAGAATAGAAATTCCGAAAATGGTTTCAGTCAAATGAATAAAAATGTTTCTTTTTGTATTTTATTAAAGTTTCATTTATTCTTGTGTTAGCACAATATCACAGTTTATAGACTACGTTAGCCAGGTGGTTAGGGCACTCGATTCGCAATCTGAGGGTCGCGGGTTCGAATCCCCGTCACACTGAACATGCTCGCCCTTTCAGCCGTGGGGGCGTTATAATGTGACGGTCAATCCCACTATTCGTTGGCAAAAGAGTATTCCAAGAGTTGGCGGTGGGTGGTGATGACTAGCTGCCTTCCCTCTAGTCTTACACTGATAATTAGGGACGGCTAGCGCAGATAGCCCTCGTGTAGCTTTGCGCAAAATTTAAAAACAAACAAACAAATTCTATTCTTTAATTGAAAAGATGTTTTAGTTTACCTATGTATTTCTACGAAGCAGTATTCACCAAGAGATAGTATGGTGATTCGTGTCACTATTTCGCTGATGTTTTAATTTAAATATACATTTTGGTACACCAGTTCTGCTGATCAAATAGAATAATAGTTTGGCTATAATACAAACTTTTTAGTTATACTCAAAACTTAGTACATATTTACAGTAATAATATATATCTTCAGGCCTGGCATGGCCAGGTGGTTAGGGCGCTCGTCTCGCAATCTGCGGGTTCGAATCCCCGTCCCACCAAACATGCTCGCCGTGGGGGCTTATAATGTGACGGTCAATCCCACTGTTCGTTGGTAAAAAAAGGTAGCCCAAGAGTTGGCGGTAGGTAGTGATGACTAACAGCCTTCTCTCTAAAATTTTTAATGCTAGAACGGCTAGTGCAGATAGTCTTTGTGTAGGTTTGCTTGAAAATCAATCTATCAATCATAACCATATTCTCACTTTCCAGTAAAATATTCATTGTTCTCCAAGATTACGTATACTCACCACCTGGTATGACTTTAAAAATATCTTTCCGTTACATTCTAGGCTAGTTATACTGAATTAATATTAACTTCCGATATACTATGATGTTTTAATTATAATAAAACTTTCTTCTAACTCATCATGCATATACTAATGTAGTTGAACAAATACTGTTCCAGCTTTAGTTAGTTTTGACATCAAATACATCATATTAATTTGTTCAAATAAGTTTGTCTCTAGTTCATCTTTTTTTGAAATCGCACATACTAATTCGATTTAGTAAGTTCATTTCCAGTTCATATTTTGTTGTATATTTTTTGACTACGAAAACGTCCTAGTTTGGTCTTTACCACAAGCACTGCCTTATTAGTAAGAAAACGACTTATTAAGAAAACGTAATGTTAGTTAATACTTCATATAAAATCGTAGTTAACCAGAAACATCCATTTTGTTCAGTTTTTGAAGTTCATAAGAAGATATCAGTAGCAGATCTCATATCTAATAATATGATAACCAAATTCTAGCCCTTCTTATGTTCCAGCAATTAGCGTGTTAAGAAGCCACAATTATAGTCCATATTCATTTCAAAACTAAATATAAAGTAAGGAAAATCAAATCCTATAAATCATTCTATGTACACCTGAAAATCTTCATATGTTACAAGGAGAAACTAAACCATTTAATATTTTTATCTTTTATAGCTCACAAATGTGCATTTGTTAAGAGGAAGACCGACGCTAATTTCACTTTCTATAAAAAAAAAAATGGCCCAAACTTATTTCATCATTCCTTTTTGTTACAGAAGGAGAGAAGCCAGAAATAATATTATCTTTCTTAAAGATACAGGTTTTTTTCCACATATACTCTCAGTTACGGTTGAAAGCTAGACTTATGTCGTCTTTCTACTGCATCAGAAATACTTACCTATGAGAAGAAGAACCCAGACTTATTCCATCTTTCTTCCAGGATACAATCAAAGGGCGATCTCCAGTAACATTACACATCAGTCTGATCGATTCTTCTCTTGTTACTGTAACAACTGACGGAATAGGCTGAATGGCTGGAGGAACTGGAAGAAAATGTTTACGTAGAATACAAAGTCAACAGTAATTCTTCTGTAAATAAATTTTACTAATAATTTTATTTTTGTTATCTGATAAGAAATATTATGTAAAATACAAGACACTAATAATTACTTTAAATTAGTATTAATGCTGTAGCAATATAAGAATAGTGTACTGCAAAAGCGTTGTTCTCATTACAATACTGCGCATTCCTTAAATACCTACTCCTGAGAACCAGAGCTATACTTCTTATTCTTACATTCCTAATAAGGTTTGATTATCAGAAATCACATTTTATTTCAATATCATTTCTCTAACGACGTGTTTGTAAACACAGAAGTAAACCACTTATGTTAACTTTACACAACTGCACATTTAAACCTCTGTGAACCTGCTAGTAAACCACACGTTTATGGTCTCACAAAATATCCTGGTAGTCAACTATATATTTAAATTCTTAAACAAAATGTAAACTAGTAAAATAGTATACCATAAATTTAAACCCCCAAGCAATATCCCTTTGATATGTTGTTGTTTGTTATTAAGCACAAAGCTGCACAAAAAGTTGTCTGTGCTCTGCCCACCATGGGTTATCGCAACCCGGTTTATAGCGGAATTAATCAGCAGACATACCGCTGTGCCACTGCGGGCTATCCCTTTGAACCTGGCATTGAATTACACAAGCAAGTCGTCAAACGTCGTGTTTGTAAGCATTCGAAATAACAAATAAGTCTATTAGTAAATTACAAAATTACAAGAAAACAATTATTAAGCGCATGTATAAACCTATAACAAATCTACAACAATGGCTATAAACCATATGAAGCACGAAACAACAAAGTTGCATCAAGTTAAAAATACGTGAAAATCACTAATCAACAAAGTTGCGAAACTGGTAGAACACTGTATTAAATACCCGTTTTCTGTAACAAAAAAATATGATTTTTGGGTGTGAATAATTTATAAAGTATACGAACTTTTTTACTATTAAATAAAAATGTTTAAGCCGCTATTCAACATACTCGTAAAGCTTGTAGTGAACAGTATACAAACCAGCTGTTAAAAAACAAGAAGTTACTCATTTAACTCACTATTCTTCAAATATATACACATAACTAATTAAATGACATACCTAGATGGCAAGTCAGGCATATTCAGATAACTAAAAGTTCGGCATATGATACACTAAATTACAATTATAAGAATTTCACAGCTTTGTATGTTCCACAATATGTGTAAACATATCGATCCCTCACATATTTTAGTACTTGACAATTTCAGAACTTGAGAGTTTAAAGTACAGAAAAGGAAGTGTCAGAACATTTAATGTTTCACAGTTTCAAGCACCGAGAAAAAAATTATCGAGTCTTTTAATGTTTGACAGTTTAAAGTTAAAAAAGAATGTCATGTCTCTTAATGTTTGACTTTAAAATCCATAAAAGGGCCAGTTACGTCATTTAATGTTTCAAGTTTAAAACACAGAGAAGGAACTGTCATAGCTGAACCTGTCTAATAATATAAACCATCCTAAAGGAACTGTCATAGCTGAACCTGTCTAATAATATAAACCATCCTAAAGGAACTGTCACAGTTGTTAGACAGGTTCAGTTTAGTATGGTTTATACTGTGACAGTTCCTTGTTAGACAGGTTCAGTATAAACCATACTAAAGGAACTGTCACAGCTGAGCCTGTCTAACAATATAAACCATCGGTAAAGAACTGTCACAGCTGAAACTGTCTAACAATATAAACCACGGTAAAGGAACTGTCACAGCTGAACCTGTCTAACAATATAAACCATACTAAAGGAACTGTCACAGCTGAAACTGTCTAACAACAGAAATCACAGTAAAGGAACTGTCAAATATATTAGTGTTGTGCAATTTAAAGGGCAAAAAGACAAAAAGAATACTTATAGCACTATTGTATCTTTAAAACTTTACAGCAAAGAAGAACATAGCATTTTTTATAAATAAGATCAGTTAAAAACCCCAAGGTCTTTATATGTCTAGTTTATAGTGAACAACAGACAGCACTCTCAGAGTCTTTAAACGTAAGGTTGTAAATGAGAAAAAATAGTCCTTTGAGTTGTTTAAATGAATCAATACAAATTACTGATTTAATTATACGTTTGTCTAAACATCTATTGGATGCACAAGTATAATTATATATAGTTTAACTTGTGAGGTAAGCCAGGCCGTATTTCCTTATGAAAGCACAGAAGTATGTATAAACGAGATTTTAAAAACTTGGTCCCTACCCGAATGACATAATAAGCTTATCCTGCATGACTAGACACCTGGAATTTAATATTCCTTGAGCAGTTGAAACGAGAGACAGCTTTACCTTTCGAACATAATAACTTTTTCAGCGGTTTTCACATAGCGTACATTACATTATCAAATAATATCATTGATTACATGCAATACTACAACTTCGCAATTTAGAACTTTCATTCTTTCATTTTTTGTGAGCTTTCACCTCTTATAACAGGGGTCAAAACTTGCTTTAAATGTAAGTTTCAAAATGATGAAAATTTCTAGCAATTTAGTTTGAGAGAGTAGCATCACGATCTAAAAATACCTTCACTGACAAACACTAGAAGATAAAAACTTCTGAATGTGAAATTCAAACAGACAGGTATTCATAAACATTTATATGTTTCTTGTAAAATATCTATCTGTAGTTACATAACAATCCTTCAACTTGATATATATAATTGACTAAGAAACTAAGAATTTAGTAGAGAAATAAAAATAATTAACTATGACAAAATTCGACAGAACAACCCACTAAACGTATTCCAGAATATAAACCCTAAAGTAATCAAAATTCACGTACTTGTAGTCCCATTCTTCTGTGTAACTTGTTTACTACTGGCTTGAGCTCGACACACTGAACAATATCTGACTACAACAGTGATATTAAGATTGAACAATACTTGAACACAATTATTGGTTCACTTTAACTCATCAGATACGTTTCTCACCCCTACGTTGACATGTCTATAATCCTAAGATATACAAAGCCCTGATTAATCCTTCTTTGATTGTTTCAAAATATTGTTCTAGAATTTCCATCACATTCGCAATCAAATTAAAGTAATTCTTACTTTCGAGAAAATTCTACCTAAACGCTATAGCAAAATGTTTAACACCCTAACTTTTAAGCTACAGTTACGAAAGGTATCCCACATTAATAACATCAAACAGATTTCAAAACGTAAAACAAAAAGTAAATCACTAAATGAAAGTATCATCATGTTTTCGTTGTCCACGCTACCACTACTATAATATTCGTTCATGTACTCTTTCGAAAGTCTTCCTAACATCCTTCCTAAAGTGTCCAGCTACCAAAAGGATATGAGACGAGAACGGGCTTTCTGGTGAGATGTTTTGGATAGAGCCAACCTCACGTGTTCTTTTCTGCTTATTGCATCTTCATATTGTCTGAATTGAATCTTGTTATACAATTTCGAGAAGTAAAATGAGATAAGTACATTTTGTATATAATGCTTCTACGCATCTTCATCTTAATTGTACACTGAAGTGAATAAAGAGTCTAAAATACTCTAACCGTTCATGAAATTTGGTCAAACCTCAAAGAGACATTTGGCTGTTGTACTTGTTTAGATGAATGGAAAAAGATGAATGGAAGTCCGCTAAACACAGCATCCTGTTTTGAATTGGCTACATTTTTTCATATTGTTGTTGGAAGGATATAGAACCGCTTCTAAGCAAATAGTACAATTGCTTGGACACGTGGAAAAGCAACAGTATCGTCCAAAACGTAAGTAAACAAAGGTTATCTGTCTGTAATGACCAAATGCAATCATAAGTACTTGCTCCAAGACTGAATCAGATATTTGTGCTCACAAAAGGATGCTGTGCCACTGTACAGATAGTTAAGAACAGACTTAATTAGGCCGGATTGTGTTAATAAATCCCCATTGAACTGCAGTCCACCCACATCAAGGTACAAAACTTCTCGTCTGCAATGATATCAACAACATCCACTAGACCAACGACATGTACCCACATCAAGGTACAAAACATCTCGTCTGCGGTGATATCAACAATATCCAGTAGACCAACGACATGTACCCACATCAAGGTACAAAACATCTCGTCTGCGGTGATATCAACAATATCCAGTAGGTCAACGACATGTACCCACATCAAGGTATAAAACATCTCGTCTGCGGTGATATCAACAATATCCAGTAGACCAACGACATGTACCCACATCAAGGTACAAAACATCTCGTCTGCAGTGATATCAACAATATCCAGTAGACCAACGACATGTACCCACA